AAAAGTGGGGGGCAGGGAAGTGCGGGATTATGGTGATGGCACACGGGTGACTTGGTGATGGGAAACCCGTGGGGATTACAATTGAGATGGGAAAAAAAAATGTACAAAATGATGTAAAAATAAACTGTTATAAAATAAAAAAAATAAAAAGTAGTTTTTCTCTTCTCATTTTACTACAAGCCTCTGAAGAGATTGTAGTGAGTGTCCTCACTTAATTATTATGAAAAATCAGGTTAGAAATAAGCCAGTAAGAAGGGAGTCAGGCTTGGCTCTGACCTTCTCACTCGAGGGTTATGAGCCCCTGATAAAATTTAGAGTTTATTCTAATAGCAGTTGGATTCAGCAAAGGAATTTAACATGGAAAGACATATAAGCATTATATTTTTAAAGATTAAAATTATTTAAAAATTTTAAAACAGCCAAAAAAAAAAAAAACCCACAAAAACAGGAAACAGGAATTCTCAACAAATCCACTCTAGCAGCTCGGAACTTTACAACCTAAGCCAGTGCATGCTGGAATCTCAGCATCTCATGCCATAGTTCCAGCTCAACCACTGCCTGATAAGCCACAATTAAATTGCAAACAAATTTCAACTATCACAAGCAATCCTTCTAGAATATTCTAGCAGCATCTCAGCTCTTTCAGGAATGCAGATAACTACCCCAAAGCTGGGGAAAGTAAACCTTAAACTTGCATCAATCTTCTGAGACAGAAGTCTGCCTGTCACTTAAAGCTCAAGATTAGGGAGCCTCTCTTGTAGCAAGGGGCAAAAACACAGCACTCTCAAGCTTTCAGCAGCCACTGCAGCACGAGTTCAATCCCCGGCCAGGGAGCTGACCCACATGGCACAGTAGACCTCTCCTGTCTCACTGGCAGTGTATTTCAGTGGCTCTGCCTGTTTTGCTCCCCACTCTGCCTCTGGTGAATCCTCATTCCCCACCCCCCACCTCAGCCTTCAGCCTCTATCCCAGCTCTTACATGTATAAATAAATAAAATAAATCTTGAAAAAATAATAATGAAAAGTAAAGCTCAATACAACATGAAAGTTGCTCTCAGGCCCAAACCCCTAAGTGACAGAGTGACCACTGCCCTGTCCAGGAAGGCTGCCCTAGGCTGAGGGGGGGGGCCCTCACCCAAACCTGACCGATGTCCACCCTGCATGCAAACAGGTCACCACGGGGCTCTGTGGCCAGGACTTCCCACAGCCCAGTAAAGATTCAACGTCAATGAAACGTAAAACCAACACTGTCATTTTCAAACTGAATGATACTCATAACTTCAACTCCAAATGGTTAATCACACAAGTAAAGGCCTCTGATCTTTATAGGCCTCTGCTTACCATTATATTATTCACTGTGCTGTTCTGTGCCTTTTTAATTTCTCAAATAATTGATATTAAGCGTGTGTGTGTGTGCACATGCATCTGCATAAGTGAAAGTGGCAGCTGCAGTAGCAAAGTCGGCTGAGATTTAAATTTTGGTTTCTGTACTTTAATAAGTTTGACCAGGAGGAATATAAGGCCTCTGTACAAAGAGTTGCACTAGAAGCACCCAGAAACGCTCCTGGGAAGTCAGCAACCTTAGCTGAAGAGGTCTTGAGATCTGAGCCCTTACCTAATCCAGATCTTGGTCCCTTTCTGTGGTTTTCAGAGAGAATGCAAATTCCACGGTTTCTCCGTGGAATTTAAGGCCACCTGATCATGCCTAGAATACTCTAGAATCAAAGGTTTTCCTCCCCACAGGCCCAACTGACCTTATCAAAGCAAATCCTCGAATCCTCACAGCACCTTCTTCACAGGCCTCTTCCCCGGGGTGTTTCTAGACAAGAATAAAAGTTGAAGAACTGAGAGAGTAGCTGATACTACTTCCTGTTTTCAAAACCAAATAACCTACGTTTGAAGCAGGATCCTTCCGACAAGGACTCTTCCCAGAACTACAGGAGAAATCTTGGGTGGGCAACCTTGCCAACTTCAACTTTGGCTCTAGTTGTGTGACTTTATTACTTTAAGGGCTTCACTTCCACATTAAAAATCTGAGTGACATAACAGGAGTATAACGGACCGGGCGAGAAAATAATAATGAACAGCTACATACTAGAGGCATTTTATGGGGGTGGAGTGGGGAATGGGATCAGAAATAGTGGGGGGAGGGAAATGCACTCGACTATGGTGATGGCACATTGGCGATTTGGTGATGGGAAGCCCAAGGAGGTTACAACTGAGATGGGAAAATGCACACAATGATGTAAATAGAAACTATTATATTATTTATTTTTTTATAAAATCTGAGTGAGTTGAACCAGATGATAAATAAGAACCCTTTGCTTTCATATTTCTAGTTTTTACTGATTTTTCTGGATGCATTGTGAAGATGTTAATGTTTTTATTCAGTAAATAGTTGTGACCAATTATGAGAGATCTTGAGTTCTAGAAACTGCAGGACCTTCACCACTGCCCTCAGAGAGTTTCTTTATTTATACTCAAATACAAGAATCATCTCCAAAATCACTAGATTCTGACCTCAGCAGCTTAGAAAACTCTAGAAACAATGTTACCAGAGACCAATCTTGGGGCCCTTAGACTGGGCCCTGGAGACTATCAGTGAACAAAATGCACATGGGCTGTGACCTTTTTGTTTATGTTGAAATGTTTTCTGATGTTAAAAGCCTCTCTTTGAAATTGTCTTTTTTTTTTCCCCTTCGAGTCAGGATATAAACAATCAGAAGCAGAGACCCATCTTATAGCTAAAGGATTAAATGAGGCATCTACAAGTGCCTGTCAAAGGGCAAGTAAAGGTAATTGCCCTTTGCTACATCTTGATTCTGAACCAATGATAAGATGAATTTCTGCTAGTGGCTAAATACCAACCCAGTGCCCCCTGACACTTCCTTGATGCCTCCCCAAATCCTGAGTACCTCCTCTCCAGAATCTACCCCATATTTGAAAACCAAGAATGTGCCGTTTTCCTGCACATCAACAAGGAAAAGAAACCCTATAGAGATGAATATGAACACCAGTTCCCTAACAGGAATGTTCAGATAGCCAGTGTATATGGAGTGATGCCCAACTCATTGGTAACCTGAGAGGTGCCAAATACAGTTTAAGCTGGATCAGGGTCAAGCATTCGTGGGCAGATAGGGAAATGGAGTCTCATGAGATTGAGCTCTGGCATGCTTTGGCCTACACGCAAGGAGCAGCAACCCTCCTGGCCTACACGCAAGGAGCAGCAACCCTCCTGGTTCTACATCCCAGACAGTTCCTTTTCTAGTCTTTATGTAGGGCTGTGGAGACAGTCCACAGTGTGACATCATGGAGGGGTTGAAACTGAGACTTGGCAATATAGAGAGAGCAATTGAAGTGCATGGAGCTTATTTTTTAAAAGCAAGAAAACAGAATGAGCAATTATATAATAATTACTATTTAATGGCTGCGGACACTGGATAGTCAGGAGTGTTAGTCTATTTCCTTGATCCTCACAATCATCTCTTGACGTGGTATTAATCCTATTTAATAAACGGTAAGGAAACAGAGGCACAGGAAAATTACTTACTTGCTCCAGATCACATCGTTTTAAAAAGTAGTGTACACGATCATACATTTTCCAAAGACAGATCAGGGCAGGAACTCCTCGTATGAAAAGATCTAGAGTTGTCTTAGCGCCTGAGATGGGGTAGGAAGTGGAATGGGGGAAAGAGATGAAGGTCCCCAGAACGAGTCAGGAGGAAAAGCGGCTGTAAGTTTAGAGACCAGAGACCTGAGAATCGACAGAATGATTCAGTCAATCCTCTGCCCCCGAGTCACATAGAAAAGAAAACAGAGAAGGTTAAAAAAAAAAAAAAACTGCTGAATCTCCAAACCCGTCCAGCAGCAGAGCTTGGGCTTAAAGCAGCTGCGGAGACTCAAGACAGAGAGAGCAGAGTTGCTGGAAGTCTCAAGGTAAAAAGTAGCAAGGCCGGTGGCTGTGACTCAGGCGCAAGACCGAGAGGTGTCCCCACTTTGGCGGGTCCGCGCTGTCCCCCGACGGTCCCCGGAACGTGGCCTCCGAAGCGAGCTCACGCGGGGCACTCACCTGCCGCGCCCGGTCCCGGCAACATCACAGCCCCATGTCCCAGTCGCCGAGCACCGGCCGCCGAATTCCAAGCGCTCAAGTCCCTAAGGATTCTCCTCACAGCCAGAAAAAAGTCTCTTGAAGCCAGGTAGGGAGGTGGGGGTGGGTGACGTTAGCACCGCCTCCAGGAAGAAGTTTTCTTTACTTTCGATCCCTCGAGTTGCCGCCTCTGCGGAATCACTTCCTGTTTCTCTCTAGTTCACGTTCAAAACTCAGCGGCGAATTCTGCAGGGCTTCAACAAAAAATCACCCGAGGTAGAAGAGGGCGACGGTGTGGAAACATTGCTTGCCCGGCGGGGAACGGCCTTTCCTCAACAGACAGAACGAGATCCTAGCTCAGGAATGGAGAAGACTCCAAGAAACTTAACTTAAAAGGAACCTATGTCCAGTTTCCAGACATCCAAAAGAGGGAGATGTCAGACCATTGGTTAACATGCAAACTAATACTTCATTGGAAGCATTTATACGGACTCCATTTAGCATGACTAAGCTTGAGATAACTAGCTTGAGACACTGCTCCCCTCAGCAGTGTCTTTCAATTGATCTGCCTTTTCTGCTGCCCACTCTGTCTCTGGTGAATCCTCTCACTCCTGGCAGCTCTAGTCTGTACCCCAGTTCTTGTATGCATAAATAAATAAATATTTTTTAAATAAAATGAAAAACATTTTTAAAAAGGAGAGGAGAGGAATGTTCCCTCTATGCTGGGGCACCCAAGTCATGAACCAGTGGCCCCCGATCTTATTACAGGGGCTCTCTTGGGTCAAAGCAGAATTTTGGGGGCTCTCTTGGGTCTGACAGAATTTTGGAGAACTCCTATCCAAAAAAGCCCTGGCTAGGGGTAACAAACTCTTGAGTGCACAACCCTGGCCACACCGAAGGGGTTAGTAGCCAGTGTCTCACCGTGAGTCTGGACTGGAGGTAACACAGAACTTTGTAGGCAGAGTCCCACTGTCTCGCCTTAACCTCTATCCTCCTCCCCTCTCTCTTCCTCTTTACATTTTTTTTTAAAGATTTATTTATTTATTTGTACAGAACTGGGATACAGGCCAGAGATGTGGAGGGTGAGAGAATTCACCAGAGTCAGAGTGGAGTGCAGAACAGGCAGATCAACGAAATACACTGCTGAGGGGAGCAGCGGGCGGGTCAGGAGAGGTCTGCCACGCCATGTGGTCACCTCCGGGGCAGGCGGGAATCGAACTCATGCGGAAGTGGCTTTAGATTCTCAGTGCTGTGCTTTAACCCGCTGCGCCACCAGGGAGGGCCCCCTCTTTACATTTTTTAAGGATTCATTTTCACATCTGCACATTCTATAACACAAACACAAACGGTAATGCAATAACCTTAAACTGTACGCCCAAAGGGCATCGTCTCTAATTCTCACAAGGCAGGGTTATTGCCCCAAGTTATTGGCGTGGAAACTGAAAGATAAATGACTCAGATTCCAACTCAGTCTTGTTGAGCTAAGGGAGATGGTTTATGTTTAAACACACTAGCCCCCACCACTCAGGATGTGAAGTGAACCATAAGTGAAATCAGTGAGCTGGTCATATACCAGGTTTGGGGTTTCCAGTCACCTAAGGAGTTACCCTAACTATGGCATTAAACATTTCTCACACATTCTGTGTGTACCAGACACAACCACTTACATTGGCCCATTTCACCTTCTGAACAATTCTCACACGTGGTGGTGTTTGCTCTCATGGTCTGTGTGAGTAAAGTGAGGCCTGGAGATGGGCACTGAGCTATCAAGTGGCAGATGAGGTTTGTTTGCTGTTAAGCAGCTGTGCAGTTGTTCAATGGCTTTCAATTTGACTCATCTGTGAAGGAATGGAAAGTTGAAAAAACACCAGAGGTTCCCCGCTTGAGAAAATTATAGAAATGAAATGCCTGCTTGAAAAAATTATAGAAGATAAAACAGGTTGAACACTTAGACCCAGGCCTGAGACTTTATCAGGTCTCTATTGATATTCCTTACAATTGTTACTTAAACTCACAACATCTGTAAAATGGCTGTTGCATAAGTTTGGTGTGAATCAGCTGACAGTGGAGTAGTATACACACCATGTGTGACTCTGGAGACATCTTGCTCATGCCTCTGCTCTGGGGCCCAGGCTGACAGAAATGGATGAGCCACTTGGAGACACCCAGGGGCTACACTGATTTGGGGGTGGGTGGTCTTAGTTCTTCAAGTTATGTCATTTAAGTGCTTTGATGCTAGGTTCTCCCAGCCTTAAAGCTGAATCATTAACCTTATCAGCATTAACTGAACTATTCACCTTATCAGTATTAATATTCAGAGTCATATTTACATGCAGTGGGGGAGCAAGCTACAGAACCCTAATATAGCATTTTCTCACAGTTCCCTTCCTCAGAACTGAGGAAGTCGTATGTCTGGATGCTAAAGGTGACAGGTCCAGAGAGACCACCAGTCCATGGAGAGAAGCCAGATGTGCTTATAGTTATTGCCACCTTTGTAGATTTCTCTACCAGTATCTTCTGTTGTTTGTTTCAAATTTAGTCTATCTGTAACTTCACAACTGATGGCCTTTCTGATGTTGACACCATAGTGTCCAATTTGGGGCCCAGAGGAAAAAACTGCCAGGCACCCACAGGGGCAGTTTCTGTTCCCTCCTCTGTCACTCCTGGGGTTCTAAGGTGAGTTTCTCTGCTGGGCGTGGGGTCTCTATAATTTGGTGTTAATTCCTCTGGGATATGTTCAGCAAGTTCTGTTTGTTTAGGATTTGTTTCTTCTACGGTACCAAGATGGTTCATGGACCTTAAGGGGTCAGTGTTTAGAATGTGACTGTGTCAGCTTTGGGCAGATTTCACTATAAGACAAGCTCATACTGGAAGACGATTCAGTCCATGGAGGAGGAATCCTGCACTCAGAACTTACCCTCTAACCTAAATAGTCTGAACTAAACTGTCTAACAAAATAACTAGTCTGAACAAAATAGTCTAACAAAATAACTAAATAGTTTCTGCAAAAGACTATTTAGTCTTTGGAGATGGCAGAGCTGGAAAAGGCAGACCAGATGCAGAATTGGCATATAGTAATTCCAACAGCGTGGTGATTACACCATATTTATAAAAGACTTTAGGTCCTGGCTGACTAAATGCTCCCTGGAGATTCCTCCAACTTCAGCAACCCCAACTGGCTTAATGTATCACAGTCATGGGCTGTCCACCTTCACATCTCTAAGCAGGTGGATAGAACTAACAAAAAAAATTAGAATTATAATGGCCATTGTGGGGAACTTGGACATTCCTAAAGCTTGCTTGTCTTAAAACTAAATTAGATTTCCATAGTGCTATTGTAGATATGAGGTGAGCAAGACACTTACACTTGATATATGGATGCAATCAAAGATAACAGTAAAATTGTCTACTTGATGAATAGAGGCTTTAAATAGACACCTCTTCAATGAGGATGTACAAATAGCTAAAATCAAAATGCTCAACTTCAGGGCCCTCCCTGGTGGCACAGCGGGTTAAAGCACAGCACTAAAAAGCTAAAGCCATTTCAGCACGAATTCGATTCCCAGCCCAGAGGTGACCCATATGGCGCAGCAGACCGCTCCTGACCCACTGGCTGCTCCCCTCAGCAGTATATTTCAGTGGATCTACCTGTTCTGCTCCCCACTCTGTCTCTGGTGAATCCTCTCACCCCCCCACACACACACCTGTGACTTACACCCCAGCTCTATAGGCATAAATAAATAAATCTTTTAAAAATAATGCTTAATAACAAAAAAGCATTGTCTTTTTTAGTATTCAGTGATATCTAATCTGTGTGTGTGTCTGTGTGTGTGTGTGTGTGTGGATAGATGATTGATAGATAGACGGATTTGTATGTCATAAGCCTGATAGCCATTATTGGTGCACTTTTATTTCCCTACCACTACATATTTTATATCCCCTTACATTTTTTTTAAGGATAAGTGCAAGCCCATTTTATTTTTTTTATAATTTTTTAAAGATTTACTTTATGAATTAGGAACTGGGGTATAGGTTTCTTCTGTATTGTTTTTACATTTTTTTAAAGATTTATTTATTTATGCATACAGAACTGGGGCACAGGCCAGAGGTGCAGGGGTGGTGAAAGGATTCACCAGAGACAGAGTGGGGAGCAAAACAGGCAGTTGACGAAGTACACTGCTGAGGGGAACAGCAGACGGGTCAGGAGAGGTCTGCCGTGCCATGTGAATCACCTGGGCGGGGCGGAGCAGGTATGGAACTTAACACTGAGGTAGCTTTGGCTAGCTTGCAGTGCTGTGTCCTAACCCGTTGTGCCACCAGGGAACAATTAATTTCTTAATAAACACTCCTTATGAACAGAATTTTAGCAGTTGATTTTGCAGTTTTACTATGTGAAAAAATCCTTGATGGCTTTTGAAAAATCCAACAGCCAACCATGTCATTTAAGTTAGTTATGAAAAGGCATTTTTTTCCTACTCCAACCTGGGACTCACTAAATTCCTGTATGTTGCCAAGTAATTAAAAGTCAGTATGTCAAAAAAAAAAAAAGTCAGTATGTCACGTTTTATTCTGTTGCAAAATGTTTGCATTCATTAGCTAAATGTGCTAGTTCAATATCTATTTCAAAATGATGTTAGTTACTTCAGAAAAAAAAATCTGCCATTTTGGTCTAAGGACTTTTGGCTACTGTTTACTCTTCTTCTCTGGTTCTGAAGTATCTAAAGGAGGCCTCCCTCATTTCCCCTACACCACCCCTCATCTCTCTCCCTAGCCCACATAAGGGATGTTCCAGTCAAGTCAGACACAGTCACTCTTCCTAACCCTTGCACATTCCTGTATTTCTCCCTTACTCAACAGATAATTAAATCTTAAGAGCCTTGTTCAAATTTTTGATCATTAAATGTTTTTCCAATTATAAAATTATTGCATATTCACAGAAGACAGTTTTGAAAATGTCTAAAGGAAAAATAAAAATTGTAAAATTTGGCCCTCTCTGGTGGAGCAATGGGTTAGGATGAAGCACTGCAAGTTAACCACAGCCACTTCTGTGCGAGTTCCACCCCCAGCCC